TTGTATGCTCTTGAGTCCATTAGAGGGTGGTATGATTAGGTTGTATGTTATAAAGATTCACTTTCAATAACCGCATATCGTAATGAAAGTTAACACACTGACTTTGCCTCCAGATACTGACAAGGATACAGCATCACTTTTTTAGTATTGCCAAAAGGGCATAACCTGAATTAACCACGAGGAAATTTCAAATAGTCCCAAGTTAAGGGACATTCTACATTTTGTACTCTTCAAAAATATCGGTGACATGACACAAAGAGAGGCTCTTAACTGTTCCTGGTTAAAGGAGACTCCAAAAAACCAAACCCATTGCCTTCGAGTCCGACTCATAGTCGTGACCCTGTAGGACAGAGTATAAGTGCCCCATAGGGTTTCCAAGGCTGTGATCTTTTCGGAAACAGACTGCCACATCTTTCTCCCTCAGAGCAACTGGTGTGTTCGGACCCCCAGCCTTACGCTTAGCAGCCAAACGCTTAACCGCTGCGCCACCAGAGCTCCTTTAAAGGAGACTAAACACAGCTAAATGCACTGCTTTACTTGAGAAGGAAAAACATTTCTTTTGTTATAAAAGGACATTAGTGGGACAATTGGCAAAATTTGAATAAGGTCTGTAAATTAGACAATAATGTATCAGTGTTAATTGCCTGATTTTGATAATCATGCTATGATTGTATAAGAGAATGTCCTTGTTTTCAGGGAATGCACACTAAGTATTTAGGGGTAAAGGAGTATCATTTCTGCAGCTTACTTCACAAACTGTTCAGGAAAAACCAAAAGATAAAGCAAATGAGGTAAACTGTTAACATTTCAGGAATCTGGGTGAAAGGAAATTATGAATCCTTTGTATTTTGCAACTTTTTTGTAAAACTGAATTATTTTCAAAAAAAAGTTACCCCTTCCCCACAAAAAATAAAAGCATATAGTTGAACAACCTCTATGTGTCAGCACAGTGGTGGGACCTGGGGAGGTGAGAGCGAATAAGACACATCCCCTGCCCTATAGGATTCATGGTCCAGCAGGTCATTTTGGCAGCAGATCCAAATGAGTGAGATGGGGTCTCCAGGGAGATGACCATTACAACAATCTGGGCAAGCAATGGGGAAGGCCTGAACTAAGGCAGTGCCAATATTGTTGGAAGGGACAGTTTCTATGATCTGGTGACTAATTGGACTTGAGTTAGGGAACAGAAGTCTGGTGAGATATCCTGGCTTCTTGCAAAGGTCCATTGGTTGGACCATTGCCCCATTCACCAAGATAAAGTGCACAGGAGGTTTGTGGAGAATAATGATAAATTTGGTTTTGGACAGCTCAGTGGTGCTGCTGAGGAGAAAGTTTGATCTACAGGCCTGTAGCTTGGGGGAGAGATCTGGGCCTAGATACAGTTTGGGGAGTTATCAGCGTTAAGGTGGAGGAGACCATGGGATAGGAACAGACTGCTTAGCGAGAGGGCACAACTGAAGCCCATCTTGGGGCAGGGGGACGCATAGCAGTCCCACTCTTTGACTCACCCAAGGAAGTATCTATGTCCATTTCCTTCAAGTTATTATTTTTCTACTGATGGCTTGGGCTATTTGTCAGATGTTTCCTAGCTGGATGTGTGACTTTGGGAGTCTCTTCACTTTGTAGGGAGCCCTGGTGGCACAGTGGTTAAGAGCAATGGCTGCTAACCAAAAAAGGTCAACAGTTTGAATCCACCAGCCACTCCTTGGAAACCATATGGGGCAGTTCTACTCTGTCCTATAGGGTCGCTGTAAGTCAGAATCGACTCGATGGCAATGGTTTGGTTTTTTGTTTTTTTTCACTTTGTAGACTGTGTTTTCCCATCTATAAATGGAGATATGGGAGAGTAGTTTTCTTAAGTACCTTACAGGGCGAAGGGAAAATAAATGAGGCCGTAAATGCCAATTATTCTGAGTTACTAAGCTGAAACTTTGAGTTGAAATTGTTCCAACCCTCTCCTGCTTGCCTCAAGTTTTCTTTTGTCTTTGGTTACTGGTTTCTGGCCATTCTTCCTTAGTGAATTGAAAGGCACAAGCAGTCTATGTAGTGGTGGATTATCCAATAAGCAAGGTAAGCACGATGCTTACCTTGCTTACCAGATCATTGTTCACTACAGATTAGTAAGTAAGCACAAGTAAGCCTGTACTTACCTTGTTTACTGGGTCATCCACCCCTGTCAGGGATTGTACATTTAAAAAGAGGCTTTGACTTATTAAGAAAATATTCTGCATCCTACTTTGGTGAGTGACGTCTGGGGTCTTAAAAGCTTGCAAGCGGCCATCTAAGATGCATCAATTGGTCCCAACCCACTTGGAGTAAAGGAGAATGAAGAACACCAAAGACACAAGGAAAGTATTAGTCCAAGAGACAGAAAGGGCCACATAAACCAGAGACTTCATCAGCCTGAGGCCAGAAAAACTAGATGGTGCATGGCTACCACCAATGACCGCCCTGCCAGGGAACACAACAGAGTCCCTGATGGAGCAGGAGAAAGGTGGGGTGCAGAACTCAAATTCTAGTAAGAAGACCAGACTTAATGGTCTGAATGAGACTGGAGGAACCCTGGAAAGCATGGCCCCCAGATTCTCTATCAGTCCAGAACTAAAACAATTTCTGAGGCCAACTCTTCAGACAGGGATTGGACTGGACTGTGGGACATAAAGTGATACTCGTGAGGAGTGTGCCTCTTAGCTCAAGTAGATACAAGAGACTAAATGGGTAGCTTCTGTCCGGAGGTGAGATGGGAAGGCAGAGAGTGTTAGGAGCTGGTTTAATGGACATGGGGAATCAGGGGTGGAAAGGAGGAGTGTGCTGTCACAGTATGGGGAGAGCAATTAGGGTCACATAACAATGTATGTATAAATTTTTGTATGGGAGACTAACTTGAAATGTAAGCTTCATTTAAACTACAACAATAAACAAAAAAAAATAAAAATAAAAAGAGGCTTTGATTCTGCAGGAAGTTGCTGTGGAGTTAGAAGAGAGATGCAAGCCATACCTAGAAGCAGAATCTTTGATATGGTGAAAAAATGTGAAATTGCTCACTACAGATGATCTGATAAGCAAGGTAAGCACCATGCTTAAGCACGGTAAGCAGGGTGCTTACCTTGCCTATTGGATAACCTGTCCCTGGGTCTGTGATCAGCTGCTAACCGGAAGGTTGGCAGTTCCAACCCATCCAGTGGTTCTGTGGAAGAAAGGCCTGGCGATCCGCTTCTATAAGGGTTACAGCCAAGAATACCCTATGGGACAGTTCTACTCTATAAACACGTGGGGTCGCCATGAGTCAGAATCAACTCCACAGCAGCAGGTTTGTATTTTTGTGGTTAAAGGGTTTTATGATAGTCCAGATGGCAAGGAATGGGACACTAGATTGAGAGATATAATGAGGTAATACAGACCTTGGATTCAATGTTGGTGGTGGTGGTTGTGTGCCATCAAGTGGATTCTGACTCATAGCTACCCTACAGGACAGAGTAGAGCTGCCCCATAGGGTCTCCTAGGCTGTAATATTTGTGGGAGCAGATAGCCAGGTCTTTTCTCCCACAGAGCAGCTGGTGGGTTTGAAACACCAACCTTTCAGTTAGTAGCCGAGCTCTTAACCATTGTGCCACCAGGGCTCTTGGATTCAATACATACAATAAAATGCGCAAAACTCAAGTATACCATTGAGCTCGGCTGCTAACCAAAAAATCGGCAGTTCAAATCCACCAGCCGCTCCTTGGAAACTCTATGGAGCAGTTCTACTCTGTCCTCTAGGGTAGCTATGAATCGGAATCCACTCGACGGCAACACGTTTGGTTTATTTATTTATTTATTGTTTACACCTATGAAACGCAAACCTCCATCAAGATATAGAACATTTCCATCACCCCAGAAAGTTCCCTTACTCCCCTTCCCAGTTAATCCTTGCCCCATTTCCCCAGGAGCAACCACCATTCAGTTTTTCTCCCACCCTTAAAGTTAAAAAAAAATGTTTTAAATGTATGAGTTATTTAGAGAAAGTATGGGTGGTCAGGTGGCATGACTAGAATGTGAAGCTGAGTGCTGCTTGGAGTCGTTTAGTCCACATGATTTTAAAATCAAATCAGATCAGGCCCTTCCTCCTCCACCGCCAAAAACATTTTGCAAGGGTTGGCCTCCAGCCATCAGAGTCTTCCAGATTAAGGAAAGGGAGTGTTCAAACAGACCGTTACAATCTCAGTTAGGCATTTTAACTTTTTTTTTTTTAAGTAGGAGATAAACTTTAGATATCGGTCCAAACTCCAAAGTTTGGTTCACTGGGCCACAGTCCTCTGCCCCCAGGTGGCCTTGCAGGATTATTCCAGCCGCGTGAGAAGGGGTGCAGCAGCATTGGGGGAGGGCTGTGGGTGGAGACAGGGGCAGATTATCCAATAAGCAAGGAAAACACGGTACTTACTTTACTTACCAGATCATCTGTAGTGAACAACTCTACATTTTTTCAACAAAGATTCTGCTTCTAGATAAGGGTGGCATCTGTCTCCCAACCTCACAGCACCTTCCTACAGAATCAAAGCCTCTTTTTAAATTTACAATTCCTGACAGGGGCGGATGACCCAGTAAACCAGGTTTATGTGTGTTTATTTACTAATCTGTAGTGAACAATTTCAGATGGGTTTCACCACATCTTTGGATAATCCGCGGTTGGGTGGGGGGAGGAGAGGGAGTACCAGCCCGTCCCCCCCACCTGCGGCCCTCTCTCCGCCCAGCTGTGGTGTCCGTTTCTCCTCCCTGCGCTCTGCTGCCTGACCTTTGAGCCGCCCTAGAAGTCGCCAACCCGTTCAGTGCCCGGGTAGGGCCAGCCTCCCCGCTCCTGCCCTGGAGAGGAAAGGCGCCGGCTACAGCCAAGCAAGACCCGCTCGGCTCTGTCTTCTGGCCAGGGGTAGCTGGAAGGAGAGCGACTTCCTCCTGCCCACCTGGGGTCTCGGGCCCCGCGCCAGCCAGGAGGTGGGCTCCACCCTCAGTTGCAGCTGCAGTGGCGATACCGGATTGTGCGGCCCCTCACCTGCACAGGTACCCGAGATGTGCCGCAGGCGCCTGACGCCCCATCCCCGCCCCGCTTTCGGCCACAGCCCCTTCTCGGGCCGCGCTCTCTGGAGCCCGGGCAGAAATGGGACATTTGCCAGCCCCTGGCTTGCACGACTGAGCGTGGGGTTAAAAATCGCTATTGCAAAAGTCATGCGTCTGATCTTGGTCCTTGTCTAACATTGATAACAAGAAGGCCTTTGGTGACTGTGTCAATTTTTAACAAACAATAAACATTCCAAATGCTGCAACGCTGACAGTATTTGAGGCTGATTTGAGCTGTATGCATACGTGTTTCTAAAAAAAAAATTATTGAAGGAAAATATTAAACCAAATATTATTTTCCTTTTTTTTCCCCTTTATCATTCATTTGCCCACGTGTGTGTGGGACCACTTACTTCAAAGCAGATCACTGCCCTAGAAGAAGGATGAAGATGCAGGCAATTTTTTATCTGTAACCTACTCAGGGAAGTTTTGGAAAGGAGAGAAGACTCAAAAGTTGCCTGTTTTTCCTTTTCCTCTCCCACGTGGATTTTTTAGGTAATGTTTGTTGCTGCTTCTGATAGTTTTTTGTTTTGTTTTGTTTTTCCTCCCAGTTCACTGGTCACAGTCTCTAGCCTAAAGTCCCAGCATAGAATGTGGAGTTCAAGACTCCTTGCCAAACTGGCACAGTGCCTTCCTAGGCAGCAAAAAATAGCAGAGGGGCTGTCAATTCTGAAACGGTACCCAGACATGGCCCTTCCTCCAACCTATGGCATTGTCTGAATTTGAAAATGGATGTTAGTTCTGATTAGATGTGTTATCACTGGTTGAACATATTTCTAAAAATGCAGTTCTGGATTTAAAATGGTCAGGAACGCCCTAGTGGTAGGTGGGAGAAGGGAATCAACAGATGGGCAGGGCTGCAGGAGAAGGTGATCTGCAGACGCCCAGAGGGGCCACCAATGAGGGAGCCGCCCGCCCCCAGACGGGCCTTGGGGGCTAAGGTGCAGGCATAAAGGGCAGCCTTACATTGTCTGAACCACTCATTCTCTGAGGGTCAGCCACGCCAAAGTGTGGGTGTTGGAGTGGGACTTCCCCACCGCCCCGCTTTTTTAAAGGTTGCTTTAAAAAATATATCACTGGTAAGTTGCCTGAAGATGTCTCATACTATCTTCTTTCAGCATTTTTTTCTTTTTCATGCATGTCTCTCTTGGCACATTGCATAGCTTATCTTGTTCTGCTTTTGCAAAACCAGCCTTTCCAGTTCTAATAAAATAGTCTGTATTGGGATCTTACCAGGGTGTTAAGCCAGGTGTTTCGCTTAATTTGTTCCATCAGATTACATTTCATTTTATCTCTGTTACCTTCAGTAGATTTCCAGCCTGACAATGTCTTCCATTAAGATTGAGTGTGTTTTGCCAAAGAACTGCCGGTGCGGTGAGTCTCCAGTGTGGGAGGAAACATTCAACTCTCTGCTCTTTGTAGATATTCCTGCAAAAACGGTTTTCCGGTGGAATTCACTTACCAAACAAGTACAGCAAGTGACCTTGGGTAAGGATGAAGGCTGTGGTCTTTTCTTCATAGACAGCTATCTCCTCCCAGTGGAGGGACAGTCACCCAGTGTTTGCCATTCCCCCTGAGATCTTCTTGTCCAACCATACTCAGTATGCTTTAAAAATTTTGGGTGGTTAAGCAATCTGTCTGCACTCCGTGTACTCCCACTTTGATCCAGGAGTAAATTATGGATGGTCATTACTTTCCTCCTCCTTTGTGGATGAGGGGCAGCATTCCCAACTGTTTTTGGATGACAAGACACTATGGTATCTTTCCTTAACAACTTTAGATAACAACATTGAAAGCTGTAGAACCGGTTGGTGGCACAGTAAAAGCTATTTACCCTGGGTCAAGCTAAGACCTTACTTTTCAAGAAAATGACAGGTATATCGCTTCTTTAAATGTGAAAAGAAGAGCTTCTGGACTTATAAAGCATCAACCAGGGACTATCTGTTGAGTGTACAAAAAAGGATTCATAACTAAAATTCAAGTGCATTTGAGTATAATTCAGTTTATGACCATGTGCTTTCCCAGAGGGGCGGTTTATCAGATTCTATGGCCCAAGGGAATGAGCTTGATTTGATTAGTGACAGAGGAAGAAGTTCCTTGGTTTCACTATTGTGGGCGTGGGAAGGGATAACAGGAATTCCCATAACCTTGAACTGGGGACCATAAACTTTTTTTTTTTTTGAATGAGAGGGAACTTTTTAATTCTGCCAGGGTTGTGACTGTGACTGGAAGGCAAAGTGACTGTGACCTTTGTGGTCAGAGTGGGGAAGGAGCCATTGCCTTCTCTAGTCTCTTTCCCAGCACTCACACACGCCTACCCCTGCTCTGTTGTTGCTGTTGCCCCTGGCTCCTGGCGACCCCATGCACAAGGAAATAAAACTGCCACCTAGCCCTACACCATCCCCATGGTCAGTTGCTGATCAGACAGTTGTGATCCATGGGGTTTTTTTCTTTTTTGTGAAAATATATACAACAAAACATATGCCAATTCAACAATTTCTACATGTATCATTCAGTGACATTGATTACATTCTTGAAGTTGTGCAACCATTCTCGCTATCCTTTACCAAATTATTCCACCACTGTTAACATAAACCCAATGCCCCCTAAGCAAAAATTCCCACTGTCCCCCTCCCTCCCACCTCTGGTAACTACTAATAACCTTTGGTTTCTATATATTTGGTTATTTCATATAAGTGAGATAATACAGTATTTGTCCTTTTGTGACTGACTTATTTCACTCAGCAAAATATTTTCAAGGTACATGTTGTGGCGTGCATCAGAACTTCATTTCTCTTTATGACTGAGTAATATTGAGCCATAGGGTTTTCACTGGCTGATTTTCGGGAGTAGATTGCTAGACCTTTCTTCCTAGTCTGTCTTAGACTGGAAGCTCCGCTGAAACACATTCAGCATCATAGCAACGTGCAAGTCTCCACTGACAGACAGGTGGTAACTGCCCATGAGGTGTATTGGCTGGGAATCAAACCTGGGTCTTCCCCATGGAAGGTGAGAATTCTACCACTGAACCACCACTGCTCTACAAAGCCCCCCAAAAACATGGAAAGGGCTTGTGGGGTCAGCAGTAGCTTGGAAAGCTAACAAGAGGAGCAGGTCCCAGGCCACAGGTGATGAGAGTGAAACCCTCCTGTTAGTGTCCCATGCATTCCCTGGGACCCTCAATGGCTCAAATCAACTTCCAAGCTACTCCCAGAGTACCCAGTACGTTGCACTGAATAGGTGCTTAGGAAATGTCTTCAAAGTAAATTCTGATAAATTTATTTCCTGTGACTACTCACCACAGTAGTCAATCTCTCCACTTAAAAAAAGAAAGTTTTCTTATACATGGAAAAATATTAAACCCAGAAAACTTATAAAATTTTAAAAAAAATAGTAATATAATGAAGAGATGCATCTACATTTCTATTTATTGCTTTTACCATGTCTACTTCCAAAAAGGATTTGAGAAACAATTTTCAATTGAATACGTATAAAATAGGGCTCCTTACAAAAGGCAAGCCCTTTATTGGAGGGAAGGTCCTTGGGTGGTGCAAACAGTTTGCGCTTGACTACAAACCGAAAGGTTAGTGGTTTGAGCCCACAGTGGCACCATGGAAGAAAGGCCTGGTGATCTGCTTCCATAAATATTATAGCCAAGAAAATCATACACATGATGGGGTTGGAATTGACTAGTTGGCAACAGTTTTGGTGTTTTGTTTTGTATTGGAGTGGGAGAAAGGTATTCACAAAACCTAGTTGCTGTAACTAAACACAATTTTGTGTGTCTGAATTTTCCTGGAGGTCAGGCAAATTGAGCATCTCTGAGTTGCTCTGGCTATCCCTAGCTTAGGAACCCCTCCTCTGAACTTGATACATTCCTCTATTGGGCCTCCTGTCTCAATGTATTGTGGCTATATTGTATTATTCTCTGCTTCTCCCGCTTGACTGGGGGCTTCCAGGGGAGTTGGGTTTTATTCACCTTTCTATTCTTGCTGCCCAGAACAGCATACAGAGTTCATGCTCAACAAATACATACTCGGTTATGTATCTCTCAAGGAGCTCTGGTGGCACCGTGGTTAAGCACTCAGCTGCTAACCAGGTAGCGGTTCAAACCCATCAGCCCCTCCACAGGAGAAAGATGTGGCAGTCTGCTCCTGTAAAGATTATGGCCTTGGAAACCCTATAGCGTAGTTTTGTTCTGTCCTATAGAGTCGCTATGAGTCGGAATCCACTCAAAGGCAAGGAGTTTGGTTTTTTTGGTTTATGTAGCTCTCACTATTCAACAGAAGGAAAATAGCACTCCCACTGTTGAAAGAGCTAGACTCCTTCTCTAAAAGATGCCAGGTGGGTGATGGCCTCCGCGTGCTGCTTGGCTACTGGCCCGCTTGCTGCATTCTGACTGCTGCATTTGCCTTTCTAGATGCCCCCGTCAGCTCTGTGGCCCTTCGCCAGTCAGGAGGCTATGTCGCCACAGTTGGAACAAAGTTCTGTGCTTTGAACTGGGAAGATCAGTCAACAGTTGTCTTGGCCACGGTGGATAAAGACAAGAAAAACAATCGATTCAATGATGGGAAGGTAGATCCTGCTGGGAGATACTTTGCTGGTACGATTTCTCTTTTACTGAGCTTTGGAGGAAGCCATAATATGACTAATAAAGGGCTCACTGCTATAGTGGTAAAAGCATATCGCTTTTTATAAAAATGAGAAAATCTTCCTAGGTATCCATTTCAATTTCTGTCTCTAGCAAAGACTAATATGTACGGTAGTTTTGTAGTTTAAATAAGTTTTAAATAACAACGGTTCTGTGTTGTTGATGATGTTGAAATTAGAAATAATTTCAAATTTACAGAAAAAATGGAAGACTAGTATGAACAACACCTGAATACCCTGTACCTAGATTCACCTATTGTTAACATTTTGTTCCCTTTGCTTTATCGTTTGCACTCTGTATGTGTGTGTGTGTATTTAAAAATGGAGTCTCTGGATGATCCAAAAGGTTAACACACTTGGCAGCTAACCAAAAAGTTAGAAGTTTGAGTCCACTGGTAAGCACCTTGGAAGAAAGGCCTGGCAATCTACTTCCAAAAAATCAGCTAATTCGAATCAGAACCATGCATATGCAAGTCCAGGATGAGCCCAGGAGATCATAAACAGCTTTATGGGGTTGCTTTTCTGAGCTCCTCCCTCTCCACTCTCTCCTGGTACTTTCCAGTTCCTTGGAGTACCCTTTTCATTTCTTCAGCCAGAAACCACCCACGTCTATGATTGTGCTGCCTCTGGGCCATGCAGCAAGAGGACACAGAGAGAAAATATAAAAGCAACAGTTTGGCTCTGCCCTTTTGGAGCTGCAGCTTCACCAAAAGGAGAAGAGGCTTTGGCTCCTGTTGTTTCCTGTTGCCGTCCACCTCTCTACTGTTTCTACCCTGATACAGAATTGCCTGGGTACTGGTGTTTGTAAAAATGGAGAGTGAAAAAATGAGGGATTTCCCCCACTCTCTCTGAGCTTCAGGAATTTCCTTTTCTGCTTCTTGAGCCAGATCTAGAGAATTTCTCTTGGATCTCTCTCTGTCTGCACCACACGGCTCACTTCTGGGTTTCAAGCTGCATTGAGTTCAGGCCTGGAGATACTAGAGGAGAAAATGGTGAACTCACCACCAGTTTGGTGGTATTTCAAATTCTGGTGTTCTTCCCTGATCCACCTGCTGATATTACTTTTCAGAGTTCTCACATAGCTGTGCCATGCATTCTGTCTAGGTCCTATGGTTGTGTTTAGTGGGAGAGTAAGGCTGGTGTGGGTTTACTCCATCTTAGCTGGAACAGAACCTCTCATTATAGTTTTAATTTGATTTGCAAGGTAGTTATCATTAAAAAAAAATTAGGATCCAGATTGGAATTGTATAATAATTTTCTTGATTTAAACACTGGAAAGGATCCTTCGAGAGAAAAAATTGTGTAGTGCATGGGGCAAGATGCATGGGGCTGAGCTCAGTGCTCTTTGGTTTTTGTAGGCACCATGGCTGAGGAAACAGCCCCAGCAGTTCTTGAACGGCACCAAGGGTCCCTGTACTCCCTCTTTGCTAACCACCATGTGGAAAAGTACTTTGACCAGGTGGACATCTCCAATGGTTTGGATTGGTCCCTAGACCACAAAATCTTCTATTACATCGACAGCCTATCCTACTCTGTGGATGCCTTTGACTATGACCTGCAGACAGGACAGATATGTATGTATTTTTGAAATTATTTTTATCAATACCGCCGGTATTTTTTTATATGTGTGTGACTAGTAAGCCACCTCTCCTCAACCCCAAGTGAAAAAGCCCTTCTTTGTCAAATAGAGAGCTTTCCAATGCTATTATTCCAATGTAGGCATTATGACAGAGACTTGACTCTGCTGCCAATCAAATCATGGCCCTCAGCACAACTAAACATGGCCATAGTTGGTGGCGCAGTGGTTAAGAGTTCGGCTGGTAACCAAAAAGGTTGGCAGTTCAAATCTACCTTGGAAACCCTATGAGACAGTTGTACTCTGTCCTTAGGGTCGCTATGAGTCAGAATTGACTTGACGGCAACAGATTTGGTTTGGTTTTTGCCCTAATATGGTTACATCCTTAATCTCCTTTCTTGCCACCAGCACCAGAAAGGAGCTCACTGTAAAGTGGATCCTGCTCTATCAGGAGGTTCCTAAAGACATAATATACAGCAGAATGGGATAAAAGAGCAGAAAATTAGAATTTTGGGTTGATATTTCTTAATTTGTATTTTAGTTAACTGCAGGCAAGTACTCAGAAACAAATTAACAGCCTTTCAAAATGGAGAAATAAAAAAAAAAGTGCTTGCAGTTCAGCTCCATCAATGTGCTTAAAATGAACCATGGTTAGAAAGTGGGAGAGAAGGAATTATTTAGCAGAATTTAGAAGGGAGTACTTCGAAGCTGTTTCATGAAGTGTACCTAACCAAAAAGGCAAAAACCTTGAAAAAATCACAAGCCACTTCATGCAGATTTAATCAGGGGCAAAATATTCCAGTATGCTGCTCTTTTTTATGACAGTTTTTACACATTTTACTTACACAAGGTTTTAACGTTTTTTTCCATCATACCTCAATCTGATTACTGTGGTGACCTGGGTTTTATAATGTAGGGTTCCTCTGGATTTTTATTTTATTTTATTTTATTGTGGTAAAATAGATATTATAAAAACTTTGCCATTTTAACCATGTTGTGCAACCATCACCTCTGCATTTTGATGTTTGTTTTTTCTATACTATGAGTCCCCTTTTAAGGCCAGTCAGCTGGTTTCAGAATGTCCCTCCTTTTGGAAATGAGCGCTTCTAATACTTAGTTTTCATAAGGTCTGGAGCATTCATTCAGGCAGAATAAGAACTCACACATTGTACTAGTTATTGTGCTTGAACTGTTCCCGTGGCCATTAATTGCCCCTCTACATCTTGGAGTTAATCAGGTAAGCATTTTTGTGACTAAAACAGCAAAAATGTATCCACAGACTGAAGTTTATCTGAGATGGGCATGCAAGGGCTTCAAGTTCAGGTCAGCCTCAAAAGAACTCTGGATATTTTAGTGAAGATTCTGTTTTCTTTTTTCTCTTCTCCTTTATAAGCCTTTGACAGACATGTTTGTGCCCAAACCAAAGAGAGTGAATCCAACCCAAATCATGTGGGAAAGAGTCTTTGTTGAGGGGTGCCCACTCATGTTTCTGGACATTTTTGATTTAGAGTTAGGAATCCTTCCGAACATCCCATCTGTGGTGCCCACATGCCTGATATTGGATAAGCCGAAGTGATCAGTATCTATGATCAGCTTGAGGCCTCACTATTTGACACTCAGTATTGAGTGGCCTGTTTTTTGTTTGTTTTGTTTTTACCATAGTCAACCGCCGAAGTGTTTACAAGTTGGAGAAAGAAGAACAAATCCCAGATGGAATGTGTATCGATGCTGAGGGGAAGCTTTGGGTGGCCTGTTACAATGGAGGAAGAGTGATTCGTTTAGATCCTGAGACAGGTAGGCCCACAGCAAAATGAAAAGTCCTTGCTATGTCTAGAAAACACCAGACAGTAGCGACTCAAGAAACCTTATTACTAATGAAGTTGGGGATATATTCAAAGGTTTCGATCGGATGATTTTGGATAAAGCCCAAAGATACAGTCCAAAACTTATAGTCAGAACTTCTTTTCCTGTGGAGATAAGTTTCTTTTATTTTTTTCAGTATTTTTATTGTAGTAAGTGATGAACATATTTAATGATATATATCTATGTATCTCTCTAAATATATAGATAGCTTTTGCCATTTCAACAACCTTCACATGTACAGTTCAGTGACATTAAATATGTTCTTCATGTTGTTCAACCATCACTGTTAACTGTTTGAGATAAGTCTTCTTGCTCAAAATAAATTGTCAGGGAAGGTAGGCTAACTGCATGGATGAATTCTGACCACCAGAGTCTTCTTAGAACTTCCTTATTACTCCCCAGAAGATCCAGAAACATGGCTCAGGTTGGAAATGTGCTAGAACTAATGTTTAAATCAAATATTTGGTTATCTAGGGAAAAGACTCCAAACTGTGAAGTTGCCTGTTGATAAGACAACTTCATGCTGCTTCGGAGGGAAGGATTACTCTGAAATGTATGTGACCTGTGCACGGGATGGAATGGATCCTGAGGCTCTCTTGAGGCAGCCTGAAGCTGGTGGGATTTTCAAGGTGATCTGGCTATTTTATTTTATTTTGGGCATGGGGTAGAGGATCCTGTTAAGTAACTGAGTGATTAGAGCTTTTACACACTGTCAAAACATACATAATTATACAGTGAAACCTGTGAGAGCTGGAACTCTACGGGACTACCTTATTTTTCCAGGTCTCACAAGTTTTCCACCTTTGACAAGGTGCAGTCTCTATTAGTGAAAAATATTTGAGTTTTCCTTCTCTGACAGATTACCACCTTACACAGGTTCTGGCTTTCGCAGGTTTTACTATATTTAACATTTTAAGCTCATCATGCTAGACTCAAAAACTTTTTATTTAGATTTTCTAGATTATAGGTTACCCAAACTCCAGGACTATGTGTTTAGCCTACTTTAAGTACAGTACTTAAAAGATTTTTTTTTGCCTTAAGTAGCATTTGTTGAAATTCTTCAAATTGGTAGAATGAGCTTAGAAAACCAGTGTGTGAAACATGTTTACAAGATCAGTTGATTGTTTTGCTATCACAAGAGATCAAATATTTTCAGGCTTTTAACACAATTTTTGGCAACAAAACAAACACTGATAAAAATCATAGACCTTTTGAGCTGAAAAGAAATGTAGAAATCATCTGACTCAACCCCCTTTCTTAACAGATGGGAAGATGATAGGAAATGGAAAAGAAATAAATTCAGTTTTAAATCCAAGTTAGTTGTAAATAGTTGCTAATTGAATTATTATCTGTGAATCATAAGGTTTGACTATAAACACCTAAGCAAGTAATTCCTTTTTATGATAGGAAATAAAACAAGGATAATAGGTGGCTAAATATATTATTATGAATCATAAAAATGCTTTCAAAGAATACTTGTGAATTACCTTTTACCAAAATTTCTTATTTTTCAACAGATAACTGGCCTCGGGGTCAAAGGAATTTGCCCCTATCCTTATGCAGGATAAGTGACGGGATTTCTTTCCTGCTGGAAGAAACTTTGAAGACAACTAGAATTCTGGGCCTGAGCTCTCAATCTAGTTTAAAAAATGAAGCAATGATATTATTAACAGGCTTAAATTTTTATTTACAATACCTAAAAGATAGAGCATTTTTAACAAGGGGTGATGGGTGGTTTTGATAACACTATAAAGCCTTCTGGAAAAGTTACTATAGAAATGCAAAGAATTGTTCAACTGTTAACCAGCCTCTTGACTCTGCAAACTGCTTGGGAAAAAGGGACCATATCTGTTCTTTATTCTGCATTCCATACATAGTATACTTACAGTTAAAAATAAATAAATAAATAAATAATAGCCTGTTGGTAACTTATTACTCGTATGTTCATTTTTATTTTCATCATAAGCTTGTAAAATATACTGCGATGCTAATCCACCTTGATATATTACTCTTCTGATATGTTATTTTACAAGCTAAAATACTACTGGAGGGTAAGAATTAAACATTGGCAAAATCCACAGTTGCAGCTATCACCTACTGCATGTAGAAGTAGTATATCACTTTGGAAAGAATACTTTTTAAAAAATAGTTTATTGAGCTATAATTGACCTGCACATATTTATTCAATTTGATGTTTGACATATATACACATTTATGAAACCAACACCACAATCAAAATAATAAACATATCCACTCCCCCCAAAACTTTCCTTGTACCCCTTTTGTAATCCTTTTCTTCTGCCCCCTATACACCCACCCAGTTCTATCCCCAGGAAACCACTACTGATCTGTTTTCTGTCACTATAAATGAATTTGAATTTTCTAGAATTTTATGTAAATATAATCCTATAGTATATACCTTGTTGTCTAGCTTCTTTCACTCAGCATAAATATTTTGAGATTCATCCATATAGTTATATATAGCAATAGTGCTTTCCTTCTTAGTGTGGAGTAGTATTCCATTTTGTGGCTATATCCCAATTTGTTTATCCATTGACCTTTTAATGGACATTTGAGCTGTTTCCAATTTTTTGCTATTACAAATAAAGCTTCCATAAACGTTCACATACAAGTCTGTCTTAGTTATCTAGTGCTGCTATAACAGAAATACCACAAGTGAATGGCTTTAACAAAGAGAAATTTATTTTCTCATTCTCAAGTAGGCTAGAAGTCCAAATTCAGGGCATCAGCTCCAGGGGAAGGCTTTCTCGTTCTCTGTCGGCTCAGGAGGAGGGCCCTTCTCGTCAGTCTTCCCCTGGACTAGGAGCTTCTCTGCACAGGAATCCTGGGTCTAAAGGAAGCGCTCTGCTCCCGGTACTTCCTTCTTGGTGGTATGAGATCCCCATGTCTCTCTGCTTGCTTCTCTCTTTTATATCTCAAAAAAGATTGGCTTAAGACACTATCTAAATCTTGCAGATCTCATCAATATAACTGCTGCTAATCCATCTCATTACATCATAGTAATAAGATTTACAAAACATAGGGAAATCACATCAGAAGACAAAATAGTAAACAATCATACAATACTGGGAATCATGACCTAGCCAAGTTGACAGATATTTTGGGGGGACACAATTCAATCCATGACATTCTACTCTTTGGCCCTCAAAAATTCATGTCATTGCCACACATAAAACACATTCACCCCATCATAACATAGCAAAAGTCTTCATTCAACTCCAAGTCCAAAATCCAAAAATTGTTCCTCATCTGTGAAATCTAGAATACAAGTTGTCTGCTTCAAAAGATACAATGGTGCAACAGGCAGGCACAAGCTAGACATTTCCATTACAAATGGGAGAAATTGGAGAGAAAGAAGGCATAACAGGCACCAAGCAAGTTAGCAGAACACATTACATTAGCCCTCAAGGCTTGCAAATAATCCTCTCTTCTCTGAGATCATTAACACAATAGCCCTGCCCTTCAGACTCTAGGTATTGGCCACACTCTCCAGATTCAGAGTAGAGGCCCCTTGGCCCTGGGCTTCAGCTCTGCTTTCCAGGCCCACTGGGACAGCAACTCTGCTCCCTCGGCTTTAGGCGCACCATTCTTCTAGTCCATTGGAGTGTCAACTCCACCCTTAGAAACACCAGAGGCCATGGCTCCACCCTTTGAAATTTAAGATGTCCTGGCTATACCTTTTGAGACTGAGGCAGCTTGGCTTCCTGTGTTCCTTGTCTCTTCAGCTTCCGCTTCCTGGTTTCTTGGCCTCTCAGCTCCTCATGCCTCATGCACACACGTGCCCTGCTGGGGCAAGTATGCTAAAGCTCTGTAGCTCCACCGATAAGTGCCTGAAGGCACCCCACTCTGCCAGTAAACTTCAGCCAGAAAGCACTCAGCTTTCTTGCTCCGTGGGTTGGCTCCAGTGCTGTCTGGCGCTGGTCTCCTGGTTCTGCTGCTGCTGGTTCTCTGCTGCTTCCAGTCCTCTATCCACTCACAGTTTCAAAACTGCTTCCACATTTTTGGCATCTGTTAGAGAAGCACCCCACTCCCGATGCCAAATTCTGTCTTAGTCATCTAGTGCTGCTCTAACAGAAATACCACAAGTGGATGGCTTTAACAAAGAGAAATTTATTTCCTCACAGCCTAGTAGGCTAGAAGTCCAAATTCGGGTCATCAGCTCCAGGGGAAGACTTTTTCTCCCTGTTGGCTCTGGGGAAAGTCCTTCTCATCAATCTTCCCTGGTTGAGGAGCTTCTCAGTGCAGGGACCCTGGGTCCAAAGGATGCACTATGCTCACAGTGCTTCTTTCTTGGTGGTATGAGGTCCCCCGTCTCTCTGCTTGCTTCTCTCTTTTATGTCTCAAAAGAGATTGGCTTAAGACACTATCTAATCTTGTAGATCTTATCAATATAACTGCCACTAATCCATCTACATCATAGAGATAGGATTTACAACACATAGGGAAATCATATCAGATGACAAAATGGTAGACAATCATACAATACTGGGAATCATGACCTGGCCAAGTTGCAGATATTTGGGGGCGGGGGGACACAATTCAATCCATGACAAAGTCTCTGTATGAACGTGTGCTTTCATTTCTCTTGGGGAAATACCTAGGAGTGGAATGGTTGGATCTTATTGTAGGTGTATGTTTATATTTGTAACTAACTGCCAAACTCTTTCCAAAACTGTTGCCATTTTATGTTAGTACCAGCCATATGTATATGAAAGTTCCAGTTCTTCCACATCCTTGCCAACACTTGAGTCTTTTTAAAAGTAGCCATTCTAATAGATGTGTAGTAGGTATTTAAACAGTAGGTATTTAATTGTAGTTTTAATCTCCATTATCCTAATGACTAATTGGAGTCCTGGTGGCACAGTAGTTAAGAGCTCGGCTGCTAACCAAAAGGTCAGCAGTTCAATCCACCAGCTGCTCCTTGGAAACCCTATGGGGCATTTCTACTCGTCCTATAGGGTCTCTATGAGTCGGAATTTACTCGACGGCAACGGGTTTTAATGACTAATAAATTTGAGCATCTTTTCATGTGCTTATTTTTTGTCTATATATTTTCCTTGGTGAAGTGTCTGTTCAAATCTTTGCCCATGTTTTAATTGTACTTTTAGAATTCCATATGTATTTTAAATATATATCCTTTATCAGATATGGGATATGCTGATACTTTCTCCCAGTCTGTGGCTTGTCTTTTCATTTTCTTTTTTCATTTGTTTATTTTTTTAAATTATCATATAGTAAAATTGACTTTTTTTCTTTTCATGTACAGTTCTATAAAATTTAACACATGTACCAATTTCTGTTAACACACCACAATCAATCAGGATACAGAACAGTTCCATCACCTCCCAGCCCCCAAAAAGCAAACAAACAAAAACCCTCATGCTATTCCTTTATAGTTATACCCTTCCCCCACCCATAATCTTTGGAAACCACTGATAAGTTCACCATCACTAAAGTTTTCTCCTTTCAAAAATGTCACATAGGGACAAGAAATACTTCATACCTAGAATCTTTAATATCAGGTATCTGAAGCAATTTGCAGGTTAATTTGCTTAAAAAACAAGTTCAGAAATATCCTAAAGCTATAAACCAGATTTAGGCTTATTTCATATTCATATGTCCAATGAATACATGGTACAGTGCACTACCTCCCATCCCTACGTCAAACCTGGAAGCAATTATGATGTCCATTTTATATTGAAATAGATCTAAATTCTCACAACTCATTCATGATAAACCCAAGATGCAAACTTGGGTTTAATATAGTCACATATAGTACAAGCATTTTTACTGCAACACTAAATGTATTAAAGGGGAAAAACTAGAAACAAATAAAATGCCCACCAATAGAAATTGGGTTGGTATATAAATTTTGGTACATTCATTCAGTGGAATGCTGTGCAAGCCTTTTTTTTTAACAGATGATTCTTATTTTATTCTAAGGTGTGAAAACTATTGATCTAATGTTAGTCATTTCTATTTCCCCAAATTTTTAAATGATAATATTCAAACAACAGAAGAGTTGGGAGGATAGCACATGAACACCCACATTCCCTTCACCTAGACTTAGCAACTGTTAACGTTTTACCACATTTGCTTTCTCTCTCTCTTTTCCTGAATCATTTGAAAATGCAAACATTGTGACATTTTATCCCTGAATATTTCAGCATGCCTCTGCTGAGAGTAAGGCATTCTCCTGAACAGCCACAATACCATTATTATACTATATTAGTTTCCTAGAGCAGCAGTAACAAAGTACCACAAACTGGGTGGCTTAAAACAACAAAAAGTTATTGTCTCACAGTTCTGGAGGCCAGAAGTCTGATATCAAGGGTGTTGGCAGGGCCATGCCCTCTCTGAAGAGTCTCAGAGAAGATCACTCCTTGCTTCTTCCTAGTTTCTGGTGGTTCCTGGCAATTCTTCGTGTTCCTTGGTTTGTAGATGCGTCACTCCAATCTCTGTGTCTCTTGGCCATCTTCCGTCTGTGTCCCTCTTTCTGTGTCTCTCCTCTTTTTATAAGGACAACCAGTCATGTTAGATTAGGGCCCTTCCTACTCCCATATGACCTTATTTTAACTGGTAACATCTTCAGAGACCCTGTTTCCAAACAAGGTTACATCAACAAGTTCCAGATGTTAAGACTTGAACACATCTTTTTGGGGTGGGGTACACAATCCTACCCATAACACATACCTAAAAAATGAACAATTCTCCGACACTATCTAGGAGCCCTGGTGGTGCAGTGGTTAAAGACCTTGGCTGCTAACCAAAAGGTCAGCAGTTTGAATCCATCAGCTGCTCCTTGGAAACCCTATGTGGCAGTTCTACTCTGTCCCATAAGGTCGCTATAAGTCAGAATTGACTCAACGGCAAGGAGTCTTTTTTTTTTTTTAATCTAGTACTCAGT